TTACTTAGGGTCAATGTGAGGTATGAATCTGGTTTGTGGCTTAAGCTTTTGGGTGAGCTGTATTAACAGACTAACAGAATTGGAAGGGACCTTGTAGGTCATCTAGTCTAAACCCCCACCCAAGCAGGAGACCCTACACCATTTCTGACAGATGGCCATCCAGTCTCTTCTTGAAAGCCTCCAGTGATGAAGCTCCCACAACTTCTGAAGGCAACTTCTCTTCCATTGGTTGATTGCTCTCACTGTCAGAAAACTTCTTATTTCCAGGTTGAATCTCTCCTTGTTCAGTTTCCATCCATTATTCCTTGTCTGGCCTTTGGGTGCTTTGGAAAATAGGTTGACCCACCCTCCTCTCTGTGGCAGCCCCTCAAGTATCAATGAGAAACCATTAGTTTGCCTCAGACCAGTTTCTGAATAAATGGCCATCCAAGAGGCCAAGGAGTATGGTTGGCTGGAGAATTCTGGGAGTTGAAGTCCACACATCCTAAAGTTACCAAGTTTGGGAAACACTAATCTAGCATGATTAACTCAGTGATAACTTTTGGAAGTGTTCTGGTATTATGTCCAGGGCATTATGTCCATAACAAAGACGACTTCAAGGGGATAGTTGGAAGGAGGACCATCTGCTATTTATGCTGAAGTTTTAAAGGGCAGCAGATTTGAAGGACTCTGGGGGAAGGATTTAAAGGATCCTTATCTAAGACTTCGTTCACACAACCCATTTAAGATGCTTATTATCAAACTACAGGCTGCCTTTGCATCACAGGCTAATGTTAGTTACTTTAACAGGTTTTCTTCATGCCTTAATGTGACCTGTGATTCCCATTCTGGTTATGTTGTGTCATATCTTATTTTGGTCAAGTCATGTGATCCAATTCCTTCAAAACATCTATTATACTAGGAATGGCTGGGGGTGCTAGAAAATGAGGCTGGCAAAGGATGGACACTGGACTGATGCCATCAAGCAAGAGAAGCGTTTTAAAGCTGGAAAAGTTCAGTGATATGGTGAAACCTTGGAAAGAATGAAGAGAGTTGATCTACAAAGAGGCTGAAAGTCAGCTGTGCCTGGACAGATTAAAGACACAAGGACAGTACATTGAATGGAGAATTAAGGTGTACAACAAAGTCCTTGGGAAATGTTTGGGTCTTGCATAAGGTATAGGTTATTAGCAGCTTCAGAAAGCAATCCTGTTCTATAGAAACCAAACCAGTGATTAATATTTATTGAAGGGCATTATTTAAAGGTATAATGATAGCAGCAGCATCAAGACACACCAAAATAAATTCACCACAATTACTAATTGCAAGGGAGCCAGTTTGATGCAATGGTTAAGGCAGAGGTGGTATTCAGCAGGTTCTGACCAGTTCTGGTAGCAGAACTGGTAGCAGAAATTTTGAGTGGTTCGGAGAACCGGCTAATACCACCTCTTAACTGTCCCCGCCCCCATCTCTTCTCTGCCTCCCGAGTCCCAACTGATCGGCTGGGTCTTCTTTTGTTGGCCTGCATAGGAGAACGGAGCTGGAAAGCAGGTTAGTGGGGTGGGGAGGGAATGGGGATTTTACAGTATCTTTCCCTGCCATGCCCACCAAGCCATTCCCACAAGGCACGCCCACACAATCCTTAGTAAAAAAAATTGAATCTCACCACTGAGTTAAGGGACTAGCCTAGAAACCAGGAGACTGTGAGTTCTAGTCCTGCCTTAGGTATGGAAAGTGGCTGGATGACTTTGAACCCATCACATTCTCAATCTGAGCCGTTTTATGCCATATGGACTTTAATTCCCAGATTTTCCCAGCCAGCATGCTAATAATGTGAAATGGCCAAGGTTGAGAAACACTGCTACAGTGATATGCTTCCAACCAATTGACCCCAATTAATTCCTTGATTTTGATTTAAGCAGAATAGGTAAACAAGCCATTATGTCTTATTCAGTAACCTCTCATTGTGAGAAATGGCCTAGCAAAATATGTAAATCTAGCAACAAAGGCTGGATAGAGTGGGACTTATTTCTGGATAACCATATGTAATCCTCAGCGTTATAGTTTATTGCTTTTTAGCACAAGGCTAAAAAACACATCACAATTTGGGTGGGCTGACATTATGGTGTTGAACTGGAAAAAATGGAGTTTAGGCTTTCAATGAACTGTCTTTTAAATTAGATCTAAATTATATATTCTGTATTAACATATTTAATGCATTCAAATATAGACTGTGGTTAAAGAATGAAACAGAAATTTAAATTAATTGCATCTGTCTGGAATTCAGAAGAAACTCACTATTTATACATTGTCAAGAATTCAGCTTATAATATAAATACAATACAATAGTAAATATAATACAAGGGTAATGATATGTTATAATTATTATAGAAGGAATTATAATATGAATTAGAACTTGTAAAAACTGAAATTTGCTCAAAAAGAATAATGTGAATTTGCAATTAAAGTCTAATGATGATGTAATAATAATATAAAACAACATGGAAAGCTGATTAATATAATATGAATATAAATTTAAATCTAAGAGGGAAAGACTATCAATAATGTACACAAGAAATATGTACCAACCAACACACTGTACAATTGAAAGAAGGTTTTATTTGTCGTTTTGTGTTTGTTTATGTTGTTAAAAATAAAAAATCTTTACAAAAAAAAGAATTCAGCTTATTGCAATGTTTAGGATCACAATCATGCAGCACTTTAGGATGATGTGTCCAGAAGTCACTTCTGAGTGTAAAGGTAGTACGAGTAGACCTCAATTTAACAACCATTCATTTAGTGACAACATTGGGAAAAAAATTATGACCATTTTTCATACTTACGACCATTGCAGTATGCCCATGGTCATGTGATCGAAATATGGACACATGTATTTATGATGGTTGCAGTATCCCGGGGTCATGTGATCACCTTTTGTGACCTTCTGAAAAACAAAGTCAGTAAGAGAACCAGATTCACTCTTACAAAAATATTGCTAATTTAACAACTGCAGTGTTTCACTTAACAACCCTGGCCAGAAAGATCATAAAATAGGGTACGATACCTGAAACTTACAGTAAAGAAAATGCATACGTCATTATTCATGTATTAACCGCAGCTAGAATAGTATTTGCAAAAATTGGAAGGGCGAAAAGATTCCGGCAGAAGAGAATGTGATTAAGAAAATATTAGAATGTGCAGAAATGAATAGATGAACCTTGGCAATTAAAGAAAAAGAACAAACTGAATATTATATGATATGATTTATTTTATCAATGGTTGGAAAACAAAGATGGATAATGATAAGATTAACTAGGTATAGTAGTTGGAAGTAAGGATATAGTCATTGACATCATAGTAAGAAATTTGAATTAATTATAACTGTAATTGTAATTACGATTGCACAAGATATGTATACCCAGTCGACCCACTGTTTAAATGGATGGATTTGTTGTTAAAATAAAACATAAAATTTTTAGATAGATAGATAGACAAATAGATAAAGGTCATAAAATAAAATGCATTTAACAATTGTCTCGTTTAGCAACAGAAATATGGTGGATCAGTATTCCAGAAAACCTCAACTCCAATCAATAACTCCGAGACAGACATCTTCTCAAAGGTTCCTTTTATTAGAGTAGTAAACTGGCACATCTGGGAAATCCCGAATATGAAAGTTCTGGGTTTCCCTTCAATAAGTAAAATATTACAAATCCACCCCCTGCACCCCTCATTGCATCACATGCCCCAATCACCATCCATCCCACCTTGAGATGTCCCCTCAACCAGTCTTCTGCCAGGTGCAGAAATAACATGACCTTGACTTAGAAGAAGAATGCTGTTATATCTAACCACAGACGCTCCAAGAAATTTCCCCCTCCCATTTTCCCAGACTCAAGAATGTGTCAGTGTGGAAGCGTCTGGTGCTAATATGGCTTCCAAAGCTGACAGTGGGACTCAATTGTGGTAGTAAGTCGAGGAGTACGTTTTTTTGTTTATAACTCCTTAATGCTTGCGCCTTTTCCAGAGATTGTGCCCTTTGCAACTGCTTTAAACAGTGGCAGGCCACTGCTTTTATTCCATGGTCTCTGAAGTACTTTGAGATTGAATCTAAAGTGATGCAGCTCCTAAAGTATTTATGAATCTAATCCCGACAGTTTCCCCACGAGATTCACAATCCGTTCAATTGGAAAAGGTCCAACATATTTAAGTCCCAGTTTTTTTGACTTTTGTGTGGTTTGCAAATATCTAGTGGACAAGAAAACTTTATCCCCCACTTGATATTGTTTCTGTGGAGCTCTCTTTTTATCTGCAAATTTCTTATGAGCTTGATGAGCATCATCCAATGCTTCACGGGTAACTGGCCAGGTAAGCTGGAGTTGGGTTATCCATTCACTCAAGGACTGAATGTTGGGTTTCTCCTGTGGAAGCTCGGGAATAGGTACAAAATCTTCTTGGTTCTGTTTATTAGCCATTTATACCAATTGTTCCAAATTGTAAAGAATTCAGAGTCGTCTTTTTCTTTCAATTTCGTTGTTAGTCTATTCATCTCAGCACTTTCTGTTACTTTGTGTATTATTAGTTCTTCATTGGGGGTATTTGGTGTTTTCCATACCCGCGCAAAGGCTATTCTGGCGGCTGTGATTGATCTTATATGCTTAATGTGCTAGTCCTTAAGCCCATGCCCTATGAAATTATAATTATGCAGGCTGATTGCCTATAATGTATATCAAAAGTTTCTCTACTCCAAGATGCTTCAATACATCTCTTTGATGCTTTGCAATTAAACATAAACCATATAATTTAAAAAATTATTTTAATTTTTTTAACTTTTTTTTTAAAGCCACCGTTCCTGTAGAACTTCTCTAAAGGGCCTTCTTGTTTGAACAAGAATTATGCAAACTACCAAATATAACACCAAATAGAATGTTAGAATGGTAATCATCATTGCATTAATGCCAATTACAATTGTGCCTCTTCCATTCTGAGTTTGAGTCCATGTGTTGTTAATGTTTACCTAGGAAGGTGCATCGTTTGAGCTTCACCTGTTTCTTCATGGAGGTAAGACTATTTTCTCTGATTGGCCTTTGTTTTCTGAAGTCTCTGTCCATAGGATGGTCAGGAAAGGCTACCCATGTAAGTCTGAGTTAAGTATAAAACTTGTGTGAAAGAAGGAGCTATAACATTTTCTATCTATACCAAGCACCTGGGAACACTCAATTTAGATAAACACAGATATTTTGGAGTTTTGTTTAAAATATTGCAAATCTCTCTCTCTCTCTCTCTCTCTCTCTCTCTCTCCTCTCTCCTCTCTCTCTCCCCCTCCTCTCCTTCCTGAATATTTCTGAATGGATGCAAAGAGGGCACAATCCAGACAGCACTGCTTCAGAGAGGGCAAGGGCATTCCGTGCATGAGTATACATTGATTCAGTGTTCTCCCTTTGAGAACATAGGGACTACTGATTATTTATTTCCATAGACATATGATGCCTATTTCTAGGGCTTATATTATTGCTTCCATGTCTTTTTTGTTTCAGAATAGTAGGAAACCACCATCCAATCCTGATAGTAATTCTGACAACATTCGGTAGTCATTTTGACATTTGTTTGATCTACATCCTCGTCCTTCTGTCCGTGAATCATTCATTTTATTCAGTGGCAACTCTCTAGGAATGAAGCTGAGGGTCCTGCTTCCTGCTTAAAAAAAAAAAAAAAAGGTGAGGTGCCAAGAAATGAGCAGAGCTAATCCTGATCTACAGAACCAGTGTGTTAAATACACACTGTTAAATACCTAAACGTATTTTTAAAAAAAACAAAAAACCTTCAAAAAAAGACATTTTTATTCCCAATAATCTACTTCTCCTCTTATAGGGATTTTAAAATGTGGATGACCAAAAATGGTGTCTACAATCTCCATTGTTGTTAGTTGCGAAGTCGTGTCCAGCCCATCCCAACCCTGTGGACAACGTTCCTCCAAGCCTTCCTGTCCTCTACCGTCCCCCGGAGTCCATTTAAACTCACGCCAACTGCTTCAGTGACTCCATCCAGCCACCTCATTCTCTGTCCCCTTCTTCTTTTGCCTTCAATTGTTCCCAGCATTAGGCTCTTCTTCAGTGATTCCTCCTTCCTTCTCACTAGGTGGCCAAAGTATTTGAGTTTCCTCTTCAGGATCTGGCCTTCTAAAGAGCAGTCAGGGTTGATCTCCTCTAGGACTGACCGGATGGATGGCCTTGCCGTCCAAGGGACTCCCAAGAGTCTTCTCCAGCACCAGAGTTCAAAGGCCTCAATTCTTTGGCACTCAGTCTTTCTTATGGTCCAACTTTCACAGCCATATATTGCATCTGGGAAAACCATAGCCGTGACTATGCGCACTTTTGTTGGCAACGCTCTCTATAGTGTTCATTATTGGCATAATAAAATAATAGCATCTTATACTGCAATATGATTCTGCTGCCTGTATTTTCTGGCACTGGGGGGAGAAGTTAGCATTTCTATCTGAGATCAGATAGGAAACTTTGCTGAGTGAACAGGACAAGAACTACAAAAAGGCAATGCTGGGAACAGAGTGTGGAGCCAGGAAATACCACCTGCCATTCTATCTAAGGTCATCCTGTCCTCACAGAACCTATTTGAAATTCTGTTTCTAATTTTGGACAATGAACTCTTAAGGAATGCCGTGTCCAGCAGTGCTGAAAATGTAGCTCCCACCAAGGCCTAAAATATCTTGCTAAACTGTGATCAAGGACCATTCTCTCTCTACTAGGGTTTAAAATGAACCAAATTCTAGGGTTTAAAATGAAGCAGACGCTAGCTTTTGCAAAGCTTTTGATCTTTGGAATTGTCTCATCTGGGCAGCATATATGCGTCCTGGAATTAGAATTAGAATCAGAATAGAGCTGGAAGGGACCTTGGAGGTCTTCTAGTCGAGCCCCTTAGTATTTTATTGATTAATTGAAAGCAGGGTGTTCACATGGCATGCAAAACCCAGCCCTGTTAACAAAATACAGTGGCTGAATTCACATAGCACTTTTGTCCTCCAACAACTAAATAATATTATGGCATAGGATAATGGTCTGATTCAAATACATACAAAAACAGTGGCTTCATTTCCCACAATACATTGACCCACAAACCATCCTCTCCGTTTTTAACCTTATCTAGAACGTTGTATGATGGTGGTTTAATGAGTCGATAAAGACGCTATTCTGCCTTCCCCCCCTAAAAATCAGCTGTTGTGAGGAGCTATATGTCTGCAAGTTATGAAACCCAAGCTCCCCTCAAAAGCACTGATTTGAAGTAATCAAAGGATAACTGTCTTCCAGTACTTGAGCGGCTGTCCCAGAGAAGAGAAGGTTGACTTATTCCCCAAAGCACCAGAGGGCAGGACAGGAAGTGATGGGTGGAAGCTCGTTAAAGAGAGATCCAACCTAGAACGAAGGAAACATTTCCTGACAGTCAGAACAATTAATCAATGGGACTGCAGAGTTGTGGGTGCTGCATCACTGGAGGTTTTCAAAATCAGACTGGAAAGCCATTTGATCGGGATGGTATAAGGCAGTGGTGGCTAACCTTTTTGGGCTCCTGGGCCAAAAATTGTGTGTGCACCAGTGTGCACGCACTCGCGTGCCAGCACCCAGAATGCAATGCGTGCCCCCCCTCCCTACGCCCCCTGCACAGGCACGCACAATCCCCCCCTCCTGCCACCCTCTTACCTGCACTGCACCTCACAGCTGATTTTTTGGCTGGTTTGAGGCCTTTTTCGGCCTCCCAGAGGCTTAGAAAAAGCCTCTGGCAAGACTTTTCAGGCCGAATTATAGGCCCATTTCGTCACTTCTGGTATTACAGGAAGTGACCAAACGGGCCTATAATTTGTCCTGAAAAGCCTCGCAGAGGCTTTTTCCAAGCCTCTGGGAGGCCGAAAAAGGCCTCAAACCAACTGGGAAAAAAAATCAGCTGTGAGGTGCGCACATGCGCAGTGAGGTAAGTTTGCCTGCAGCTTGCGTGCCAGCACAAATGGCTCTGTGTGCCACTTGTGGCACACATGCCATAGGTTCGCCATCACGGGTATAAGGTCTCTTGCCTTGAGCAGAGGGTTGGACTAGAAGATCTCCAAGGTCCCTTCTAGCCCCAGGATTCTGTGTTCTATGTTCTTTCAAACACAAGGTTGGTTGAACATGGTTGGGAACAGCAGTAGAATTCATTGACAGAGTTGAAATATTCCATGGGTTTCTTCATAAAGGAAGAATTGACATCTAGGCATGAGGTCAGTCATGCAACCGACACCAATTCCATAACAATGAAGACAATGAAGTTATGACACTTGTAATATCATTGTGACATGCATCCCCTATGATTATAGACAATCGTATGGGGGTGGGTGGGAATTAAATCTGACATAATTCCCTTGTCAAATATGCCATGTCACTGTAGTTTGGATCAGATGCCAAGACTAAGCTTTACATAAAAGGAAAAAAAAGGTCAAATTTGAAATAGAGGCTTCTTCTATTTTATTATCCAAATTCTGGAACTTTCTCCCAAGATACATTCACCTGATGATGTTATATTTAGACACTGGATAAAATTGTTTCCGGCTTCCAGGGAAATTGAGGCTCTTTCTTAATGTTTTTTTCCCTAAACAATTGTTTTATTTTGTTTGTTTCTGACACCTTGTTGGTTTTCTTTTGTGTTCTTTCATATTGTGGGTGAAGCTTGCTTTGTAGTCATTCCTTCGCAGCTGATGACCACAGAAAATTTGTTCACCATTCAGTAAATAAATAAGTGCCACTTGCAATCAACATTGGTAACTGTTTTTTTAAGTTCAAATGAAGATATTGGAGGCTGTGTTCTGTTGTCACCAAAACAGAATGGAGTTTTAAAGTATCTTTAAATTCATTTGGCTAATTGTTAACAATTAGGCATTTATCTAATGACCAAATTTGAATGGAACTATGAACTAGACTTTTTAATACCTAAAAAAGCCTCTGTTACATCAAATTGTGTCTGTGATGTAAAAGATGACACTAAGTGAAATAAAAGTGTCCCTTTTTATTATATCATTCCTTTACTATTGTTATTTTTACATTTTTTATCATTTCCCCCCGTTTTATTATCGTGAGCTACTCAGAGTACCTCCACAGCGAGATGGGTGGCAAATAAATAAAATAAATAAATAATAAAATAATAAATAATAAAATAAAATAATAAATAATAAAATAAAATAATAAATAATAAAATAAACAAAATAATAAAATAAATGTAAAATATAAAACAAAACACAACAAGACAATGCATTCTGTGGAAAAAAGCGACAGAAAAAAAGGATCTATTTCCTTCTCACCCTCTTTCTTAAAGTGCTATTTATCCCAGGATTCTGACTGCACCAAGAGGCAACAAGAAATATTATATATTCACACAGCGCTTACCTAAACTATGAAGCTCACTAGAAAAGATTGAGGGATTGTTGGCAAAGAGAAATACTTAAAAGCATCATGGTTTCTGTTTAATAATTGCAATGGTGGTCTAGAACTAACAACTTTTGTAGCCGTCTCCTGAATGCCAAATATCTTGGCAAGTTTGTACAGGTTAATGTTCTTTTCTTAGCTTCCCAGAAGGGTGAGACCAAAATGCTGCATGACACAGAATCATTGCCTGATGCAGCCCATTTTTCTTCTTCCATTTTGTCTTTTAACGTGGCCACAAAAAAGATATTGGAAATGTCCACGGTTCTTTTTTTTTAATCACCTCACCAAAGATGTGACAGTTTAGCTGGAGTCTTAATGAAGCAAAGCAACTCCTTGCTGTGGCTTACAAAAGGATATTGTTTCTATTAGCTGTGGTTAAAATTAATGAGAGTTTCAAGTTTCAAAGATAACATTTAACTGAAACTGGTTCATTGGAAGCAAACATGGAAATATGACATGTCAACACCAAGAGACAAACCAGTGCTTGTAATGAAAAAACAATGCTATGTCATAATGCAACCAATAATTGGATGTATTGACTCTACCCCCATTCTCCTTATGCTGGTCTGTGACCATAATAAAGATCTGATCCGAGTAATTGGATTCAAACATTATGCTGAACCATAACATGATCTGTATGATTTGGGATTAGCACGAGCACATCCAGATACAGCTTCCTGGTATATTCAAGCCAGACCGTGATGCAACAAACCAGGGATTAAAATCCTGGTTTAGCAGTGTATCAAATCAAAGTTTTAGTCACGCATTGCCCTCACTTGTTAAGCTAACTAGTTTCCTTTATCCGTATGCCATGCTGAGACACAAATAAGCGAACCCCATTTTGACTTAATGTCACGGGTGATATTAAACCTCTGATTCTGCTTAAGCATTTTGTTCATCAGGAAGCTAGTCACTGGATTTGAACTCTTCAACTTGACTAGAATTCCAGATGCACTGCACCCTAGAAAGAACAACGTACAAGCAGAACATCTAAACCAAGGCTCTTCAAACTTAGCAAGTTTAAGACTTGCGGACTTCAACTCCCAGAATTCCTGAGTTAGCATGACTAGAGGAGGAATTCTGGGAGTTGAAGTCCACAAGTTTTAAAGTGGCCAAGTTTGGGGACCCCT